CTACAAGTGGGGAAAAGACCACAACAAATATCAGACAGAATCTTCACAGTTTTAGATGTTTTTTTTATTACGTCTCAACCCATTCTTTGCAATACATCTGTTCTTCGACATTCAAAATAACTTGCATGATATTGGGACAAAGAAATTGTTTAAGCCATAAAATCCGAATTGTTAAAATTGATATTGAATGCCAAAGAATAGCTAGGCCATCAATATATATATATATATATATATATATATATATATATATATATATATATATATCTCAACATATTATGAAATGGATTATTAAGTCCGACATTTATTTAATATATTTTCTGTTTATACCTTACTTTTATAGATACAGTTTATTTAAGTAAATGCTTTGTTTTTTAATTAAAAAATATTAATTACATTTACCGGGCCGAATGTTCGAGAAAAATCGTCAAAGTTTGTGTGTTTATGAGCAGTAATTCGGACTTTGCTAATCAGACGCTTCTCTGTAACTGAATAGTACAGCACGTCAGGTCAAATGTCGGTTTTCTTATAGGAATACATGTTCGATTCCTGTCGGAGAATGCATATTTTCAGGCCCCTAAATGTAATTGATACTATTTAATTAAAAAACAAAAAACAAAAAAATAAATAAACAGAGCGTTTGCTTAAATAAATGTTATCCATAAAAATAATATAAAAACAGAAAATATATTAATGTATATTTGACCATCAACCTTTCATTCAAACATCTTAATTAAATACAAGGAAGATTTAAGTAATTTTCTATAATTTTTTATTTTTACAAAATGGAAATAGATAAACAGATAGATATGAACAGAGATGGATGGATGGAAATTAAGCCCAACTGAATGATTCAAAGAAAAAAAGTATATGAAATGTCGCAAGGTTTTATTATTTTGTGCCGGCCGAGAAATATTTAAAAATGATCGATATATATATATATATAGTGATATAAACGAATTTGAAATTTAAAATAATAAAAATGCTGCTAATTTGAAGAAAATATAAAGTTTAAGTGTCTGAAGCTTTTACCCGCTTCATATTTTAACTTTTAATTTTTTAGGTGTAAAGAACAATTTTTTAATTAAAATTGAATGTCATTTTATTTTATGAATTAGCCTCACTCACCCCCCAAAAAAAAAAAAGGAAGTAAAAACGAAAACCCTTGATTTAGTTTCGGCTAAAAAATTAAGATTAAAACTTGTAATTTAGCATATATTCTTGATTTATTTAAAAATATGAATCTGGCTAAGGTTTTTAACGCTAAAATCGTTAGTTTAGTTTAAAATGGCGGCATTTAGTGTATTTTGATCTTTGGCCTTCAGAATTCGTTTAGATCAATCAATTTTTAATAATTATTGAAGCGGCGTGTGTCAGCGCGAAAGCATAATAACCATATCGTTTCGAGACGCAGTAAACGGCAGATTTAGACGAAGACACAATCAAAGGCCAAGTGGGTGGGGGTCGACATACGACACTTCTTTTTTATTTCGTTTTATCCATCACCTAAGTAAATATGTATACACACACACACACACACACACACACACACACACACACACACACACACACACACACACACACACACATATATATATATATATATATATACATATATATATATATATATATATATATATATATATATATATATATATATATATATATATATATATATATATATATATATATGTATATATATATATATATATATATATATAAATATATATATATATATATATATATATATATATATATATATATATATATATATATATATATATATATATATATATATATAGAGAGAGAGAGAGAGAGATAGAGATACATGTGTGTGTGTGTGTATGCCTGCTGTCTGTATGTATGCCTCTGTGTGTGTATGTGTGTATTAGTCGAAGTACCCATCCACGTAGGGCAAGAGTTCAAAGCTTCGGACGAAGCTAGTTATAAGGAGAGTAAAACGATTCCTCGTGCGCCGGTAAGCATTGTTTTCATCAAAGTCACGTTGTACGAAACTGTTGGAATGATATACTCTTGAAAAATAGTCCCACATAATTTCTTATGCCAAAACGAAACAAATAGAAAAGTTTAAACAAGAAATGTGTCTATTTTACAAAACGAAGGATTGTCAATTAACAATTTATTACCATCATTATTCACGTCTAACAACGTCTATTTTTAAACAGCACCTGTCGTGTGTATCGGCGCCGTGTTCTGTTTAAAGTAAGTAAGTCAAGATATACATTGCAATGAACAGAAATGAACAGAAAATAGAAATAATGATGGCAATACAAAATAGATTTCAATTCTTCCTCTTAACTCTAGCCTATAAGCGTTTATATATATATATATATATATATATATATATATATATATATATATATATATATAAAAAATTTCTCAGAGTTAATAGCGTCCTCTAAATTCTCCCAGTTTCTAAGGACATTTTGTTTTTGTTATTATTAGTTACTTTGTTTAAATAAATTCATTTCGTTTCTGCTTTGAGAAAGTCCACATTGGACGAAACGCGTCAGCAACTACTACAGTTTTCCTATTGTCATTTATATTAATATATGTATGTATGTATGTATGTATGTATATATACTTCCAATAAAATGGACTCTATGGCAGAAACCCAGTGGACAACATCCCAAAATTAATTAATAAGATTAGATATAAAGGCAATTCACCTGTTATCATATTATATGAAGATAACATATACATGTATTCGTTATCATGCATTCGTTTCAAGTGATCGTTCATAATTATGTATACATAAATGAATCATACATTTGTAAGAATAAAATAAGTGTATATATTGGATATTGTCTCAGTTTACAGGGATGAGAGGCAGGGATATTGCCCACTATTACATGGATGAGAGTCTGGGATTTTGTCTACAGGGATTTTTCCTGTTACTGATGAAACGATACCTAAGTTTAAGACATATTTTAAAATATGAAAAATCTTTCTGCAAACTTTAATTTTATTTTTAATTCCAAGCTAATATATTTAAATTTGATATTCTTGATATGGAAAATATTTTAGCATATTTCAAAGCGAAATTAAATTGATTGGAATTTTTAATTTCTCTCATTATTCCTAAAATCTATGAATTTGTTCATATTGATAGATTTGTACTTAACATAATTATTAAAAAAAAAAACTTTCAAAAATAAAACATACTTTTCTAAAACGGTATTTGATAAAAAATAGCTGATTTAAAGTTTAATTGATTAGAATTGAAATAAATATTACTTAATTTTAGTTTAAATGTCGCTAAAAGAAATTTTAAATGGAGTGGGTGTTTTTGACGTATTGAATGATTTATTGACAAACTGATATTTAGGAAAGGGAGACATAATTGAAAAAATACATGACGAATACAACGTAAACGCCTTTTTCCATATATATATATATATTTTAACTACTCAATAATCTTAAAAACTGAAAAATATTTTAAGCATTGTATTATTTTATAAAATTTTACGTACTTTGGGACTTATATACAAAGACTATTGTTTAGGAAATTTCAGAAAATTACGAATAGATTTAAAAAAATTATTATAGTTACCGCTTTTATTTCCTGATAATATGTATGGTCGTTCGTATTTGAAGAAATCGACACATTTATACACACATAAAAAATCAAAATTCTTTTAAAATACTGAGGTTGTTGAACTGTAGTCACCTTTTCCATTTATAATTTGTACAGCTTTAATTTAATAGCAATATCACTTGACCGTTAAAAATTAATACAAGACTTTAAAAGATACAAAATTTATAAATTATTCTAATTAAAATTAAAAAATGAAAAAATTCTTGAAAAATTCATTATAAAGCAAAAAAAAGAAGTTTTCTTAAGACAATAGTGTTCATTTTCTTTCATAAGAACAACTGAACATTTCTCAAATTAAAAAATGTCTTAGTTTTATTGCATCTTACTTTACGATTCAGAGCAAGTTTTCTGATACTGGGGATCCTCTTTGTCCCCTCCCACCCAAAGCATATTTTATAATCTCCTTGGACCTGGCCTTACAACAAATATAAACAATAAGCGAAAAAAAAAAAGAATTTCTCCAAAATATATAATATTAAATATGTGGAGGATAACATATGAAAAAATATTTTTTCATATGGTTTTCACATAATGAAAATTTTAAAAAAATAATTCAATTCATTTCTGAATAAACTCTGAAATTTCATTAAAATCCAGCAATTTCTCATATTTCCAAGAATTTCCAGATTAATGTATTTTTCAACGTAAAAGACGCTCAAATTTCCTATGCAAATTTTGTCTCGCGTTGACACCAAATTTTTCAAGGTTCTAATAAGAATAAAAATAATTTGACACAAAATTCCTTTGATCTTTCCTCTTATCAAGATTTTGCCGTTGAAATAATATATTCTCTGTTTTCTCGAATCTTTTTGTAATCCCTAATATATATATATATATATATATATATATATATGTGTGTGTGTGTGTGTGTGTGTGTGTGTGTGTGTGTGTGTGTGTGTATATATATATATGAGTTGACATTAAAGTCAACACCCAGTGGCGACAATCTATTTCTGGTTAAATGTAATCGTCAGGCTATGTGCGCTGTGCTTTTGCTAGACTTTTATATATACCGGTCAGTGTTGCGTTGTGGGTAATTTCTTACATTGTTGGTAGTCTATTGTATTATTCTAATGGTAATTATTGTGGGAGTGGTTTGTTAATTTGTTTATTATTTACTTAGTGTATTTGTTTCTTTCTCTGTGTTAATTTATATTATTGTATTTATTAATTTTTTTTTATTTTATTAATTATTTTCCTTTATTCTTGTTCGTTTTCGATTTTTAAGTAACGTAGTAAAAATTTGTTTTCGTATCTGCATTTCGAGATAAGTTCCGATCTTTTATTTGGTAGTCTGTTTTGGTCTGGGAAGGTAATTATGCCTATTTTTCCTCCAGGCAGAATTTACAGTTTTTGGATTGATTATTGTAGTCTGATGTTCTAT